CAATGCAAAGAAGAATAACATAAGACTGATTGGAGTCAATGAAGAAAGAGGAGAGAGTGCAGATGACATAAAAAAACTGTTCACAGAAGTGATGGCAGGATGAAGAGAGGCATCTTTTCATACTTTATAGCCATTTATATTTCCTTTTTGTGGATGTTTATATTCTTTGTCCATCTTTCTGTTGGGTTACTCATCTTCTTACTCCTTTGTAAGAGCCATTTAATATTAAGGAAATTAGACCTTTGATCATGATATACTTGACAAATATGTTTTCCAACCTTTCGTTTGTTTGTTGACTATTTGTATTTTATTTATTTTTTATTTTTTGGTGCCAGAGATCGAACTCGGGACCTTGCACTTGCAAGGCAGGCGGCAGAACCACTAAACTAAATCCCCGGCCCTTTGACTATTTTTCTTATGTTCATATTCCCATGGGAAAAATTCTGTATTTATGTAACTGAATTTATTAAATAATTTTAACATGAAAAAGACTTTCTGGGCCAGGGATTTAGCTCAATGGTTCCAGCACCTGCCTCGCAAGTGCAAGGTCCCGAGTTCAATCTCTGATACCAAAAAAAAAAAAAAAAAAGACTTTCTGATATTATCATGGTTCTAGATTCGTAGATAGAAAGATTATTGAATATTACTACATTGCTACAAAAACATAAAGCAACTCATAAAAGGCATTGTGCATAATATTTGCAGAAAGTACCTATATACCAGTTTTTCTGGAGATCCACCACATATTCTATCAGTGATGCTGTCTACAAAAATATTTGTTTATGGATGTACGGAGGTTATAAAAAGCAAAAATTTAGGGGCCGGGGATTTAGCTCAGTGGTTCCAGCGCCTGCCTCGAGAGCGCAAGGTCCCAAGTTCGATCCCCGGTACCAAAAAAAAGCAAAAATTTACTCAGTGCCCTTAAAAAGAGTAACTGAGATTTTTCCTAGGCCAAAAATATTCTAAAAGCATTTGTCAAAATCTCAATTAATCACATCATAATCATCCCTAATTTCTCTGAAGTGTTTAAACTTGGTCATCTTTACTAAGATTTACTAAGGATATTTTTTCCTAAGAACAAAGAACATCTGCCTTCAGTTACCACAAGAATAGGCTAAAGTTGAGAGTTTCAGATAGATAAAGCAAGAAGAAAATAAAATGGTGTTCTCATACTCTCATCAGAAAACTGAACATTTTAAATAGTATCTACAATAAATCATTATAATTAAACATTCATTAACAGTTTCACTCAATCTTATTTCTTGTTCCATTAATCTTGGGCTAACAAATTAATGAATTCATCTTTGTACTAAAACAGTCCTACAATTTCCAATTATTAAATCCTCTAGTACAATCTGATGGGGGGCAACATCTGTTTAAACATTTAAGTTTGTTCTTGCAATTCTCTTCTCCACAATACCAGGAGTCAAGAATACCTGGTGGAGTCCTTTCCACTAAGCCTTTGAGGTTGTGATTTTTTTCTGTTTCCCTCACGAGATCCAATGTTTGATGAGTAGCTTACAGAGGAAATCTTCAGGCAAGGAGGAAGAAAAGCAGAAAGCATCTGTTTATGGCAAGACCAGATGGCTCTATTTAATTTACTACAGTAACCGATATTATCAGAATAGAAAAGTGAGTCTTTCACGTGTCACCATTTTACAAAACCTACCAGTCCTTACTCCAGGAAGAACACAGTTGGTGAGGGCATTGACCACCTCCCATGGTCTTCTAATTCATCCTATGAAGTGCATATCAGGATTCCTATCCATCGACAAGGGTATTTTAGGTCCAGAAACAAAATCTTCCAAAAAGCTAAATGTATTAATAGTCACCATACCAGATATGCAATATAAAAGAGTATACTTTTATCCTTCCTGAAACATATGCAATCACTAAAATATATTTTACCTGAAAAAAATAAATCCAGAAAGGCTGTTCTCCTGTTATTTAGTCAGGTTTTTCCACATGGTGGGTTTGATATGCAAGATAGCTCTTTTGCTAGTATAGACGTAATCTTAAAATTTGTGAAACATGCCAAAACACACCTAATTGCTTGTAGCTTCCTCCTAAGTAAAAATTAAGCCTTTGGCGTCATCTACTGGTCAGGTGGGTAATGACCACCTAGTAAGACTAGGGGTGTACAAGACAGCTTTGAGGCTTTTTGTATCCTGAATTCAGGATATATGCTTGAGGAAGACCATCTCTCTCTCTCTCTCTCTCTCTCTCTCTCTCTCTCTCTCTCTCTCTCTCTCTCTC